TCTTGAGATGGCGTTGATGACTGCAGCAGTTGAACGGTCAGCGGCGGCGAGGGGGATCAAGGATGGCGCCCAGGATCTTCTTTGGTGCAAAAAAAAGCGTCGTTCTTGAGATGGCGTTCGTGACTGCAGCAGTTTGACGGTACATCGGCGGCGAGGGGGATCAAGGATGGGGCCATGAGGGACGGGGCTTCAGCGTGTGATCTATTTCTTCTTCTCCGGCTTAACGCTCGTTACCCGGGCTAACCTTCTCCCCCCGTGTAACGCTAACGATCGTGCCGTGGGGTAGGGGGGGGGCTTGGCCCCCCCCTACATGCTGGGAGCGGACCCCCCGCAGGTATGGGGTTGTACTCACAGGCATGGCGTGGTCTGAGCGGCACGCACTGGTGCTCACAAACGTGTTGTGGCGCTCGCAGTGGTCGTCGTCGTCGTCGTCCGTCGTCCGTCGTCCGTCGTCCGTCGTCCGTCGTCCGTCGTCGTCGTCGTCGTCGTCGTCGTCGTCCGTCGTCCGTCGTCCGTCGTCCGTCGTCCGTCGTCCGTCGCCCGTCGTCCGTCGTCCGTCGTCCGTCGTCCGTCGCCCGTCGTCCGTCGTCCGTCGTCCGTCGTCGTCGTTGTCGTCGTCTTCGTCGTCCAATGCAGCTGGCGATGGCTCAGCTACCGCAGGCTGGTCCGACCATTTTTCCGCAAATGCAGAACGCGGTGGCTCTGTCTCTTCCTTCTGGCCAGTGATCGGTCGCAGTGTGATACAGTCAACGCGCCTAATAAGGGCGCGCGCCTTCTCCAGGGTAACCTTGTGTCCTTGCCTTTGCGGCCTGTCCTTTGCCGTTTTTATTCGCCAGCTCTTGCAAACAAGTCCCATTTTTTGGCGTCCAAGGTTCTAGCGTCCCTACCACCCGTTCTTAATGCACGTACCGATTGTAGACCCAGCGCCATGGAGAAGATGGAAATTGGGAGGCACCACGCCTTCTCGCGCGGGCGTCGTGGTGTGCGCAGGCGCTGTGGTTCACGCAGGCGACTTGGTGCACACCGGAGCTGCGTTGCACACGGCTGCTGCGGTGTATGCAGGCGCTACGGTGTACGCAAGCGCTGTGGTGCACGCAGGCATTGTGGTGTACACCGACGTTGTGTCGCACACGGATGCTATGGTGTACACAGGCGTTGTGGTGTAGGCAGGCGCTGTGGTGCACGCGTGTAGAACCCTCAGGCGTTCCAGTTTCCATGCTTATGTTCCGGTCAAAGCGTATATATATGTGTATATATATGTATATATAACGTTTGTTTTTTTTTGAATCCAGAGGTGCCCCAATTTCCGGAAATATTCTCGAACACCATTTTTCTATGGAGTCCAGCGGCGTTCCGTTTTCCATGAGGTTCTGTGGAATCCAGAGGTGCCCCATTTTCCATAGGACTTTTTCTAATTATTCTAAACATTGTGGTTGTCCATATAATCTTATTACAAACAACGGTTGATGCAGGATACACAGGCGTTGCGGTGTGCATGGGCCACGTGGTGCTGCAGTGCACGCGGCTGTTGTGGTGTACGCAGGCACTGTGATGTGTACACAAGTGGAGCTGTGTTGCACGGAAGCATTGGGCATTGCGTTGTGCATGGGCGATTGATGCGCCGGTGGCGCGGACGCACCCTAGCGGGCGCACGCCGCGGTCGCCGTTACCGTGACCTTCCCGCCCGACCCCCTCCCAGGTAACGGCCGATAGCCGGTTGAGGAAGGATTTGGTTTCGAGGGGCCCCATTCCGATTCCACGCCGGCCAGCCCCGCGGCGGGGGAGGTCGACGTCGATCGGGTATAGCCAGGACCCCAGGTAAGGGGACCAGGTTAGTAGCAGGGCACCAGAGCCACTAAATTGGCCAGAATCACATGAGCAGGTCTGCCGTAGCTTGTGTTTTTTTCGGGTGACGGCAGTTCCGGTTAGTAGAACGGGGGGGGGGCGTCCTTCAGTACACATCACTAAACCAGGTCCCACTAAACCCAGTACTGCCAACGCCCGAGCGAGTCGAGAGGCTGGAGGCTACTGCCCGCTCGACCTCAGGCCCTCCTCTTCCTCCTCCTCCTCCTCATGTTCCTCCTCCTCCTCCTCCTGCTCCTCGTCCTCCTCCTCCTCCTCCTCCTCCTCCTCCTCATCATCATCATCATCATCATCATCATCATCGCCATCGCCATCATCATCATCATCATCATCATCATCATCATCATCATCATCATCATCATCATCATCATCAGCATCATCATCATCATCATCAGCATCATCATCATCATTTTCATCATTTTCATCATCATCATCATCTTCATCTTCATCTTCAGCATCATCAGCATCATCATCGTCATCATCCTTCTTCTCCTCCTCCTCCTCCTCCTCCTCATCATCATCATCATCATTATCATCATGATCCCCCCGCGACGGGGAGGCAGCCCCCAGGCGCTCTCTCGCTGCAGCCGCTCCTCTCCTCTGCCCCCCTGCCCCGCGCGCGCGCGGCGCCGCGGCCGTGCGGCCACCCCGCCCGGAGGGAGGAGAAGCGACACCACCACCCCGTTCGGGGGCAACGATGGGGGGGATAGGCATTGGGGGGGATGCATCGACCCCCAATCGCCCATTGATCGTCGACAGGGGCCTGGTAGCCCCAACCTGCCCAGGAAGGTGCGGATTCACTATCGGAGGCCTATTGCCGATCCATCGGCGATGTATCGCCGATTCCAGGTCGATGTTTCCCCCCCCCTGTCCCTTTCCCCCCCTATCGTTGCCCCTCACCCTTCAAGCGGTGGCGAGGCGTCTTGGCTTTCCTATATTGGGGAAAGGAAAGTTACAAACATAACAACTCGGAGGTCCGTGCGGATTTCTTGGATCCGCGTTGGACCCCCCCTCCCTGGCGCGTGGTGCGCGCCAGGGGCGGCGCCGGAGGCGCCGCCAGGGGGGCCCAGCGCAGATCCGAGAAATCCGCGCGGACCTCCGAGTTTTTATGTTTACGTCATTGTTGTCCCCAAATTCTAAGATCTTTCTTCGGGTGGTTTGCACGGAATGTTCTTAGAACGTCTCTGGTCGAGATTATCTTGCTTCAACACACTGGTTGTATGTCCTGAGAGCAGTGTCTCTGTTCTTGGAGAACTGCTTGGTTCTAGCAAGATGTCGTAGCTGCTGGGGACGGTCGGTCCCTGCTCAAACCACGGGCCATTCCCGTCCGATCGCTCCGGTTCGATGTCTACCTCGGCCTGCTCGGCCCGATTCGCTTCCAATCTCTCGACGGTCCGATGCGGTCCGATCTGCTCTCACTTGGCGCTGCTGTGCCTCCTGGCGCGACCGATGCTACTCTCCTTCGACTCCGTGCCGCTGCAGGCCGATCCGATCCGATGATCCGATTCGATGCCGATTGCTTACAGTCGAACGCAGGCCAGAAAATGAGACCCTCCGTCGGCCAGAACAAACAGAACAGTCAAGGATACCCTCCCCAGAATTCACAAGAACATCCGACAAGCACGAAGAGCACTAGGGTACCCTCCCCGAACCGATCTCGATCTTATTCCTCGGTCCG